TTCATTGGAGAGACCCATAGGGTCCCAGAATGTACAGAAACCCACCCACCTGGGAATCAGCACCAGAAGGGCCCATTTTGCTTGCTTGCTTGCAAGTAGGGGAAGTGACTGAAATCCAGCAGAGAGCAGAACAAGCGCCATTGTTCCCTCTTGGACCCCTGCCCCACATATAGCCTCACAACCCAGCAACATGGGTTGCCCCACCCAGGTGAACACCTAAGACTCGACCCCTCACTACGTAACAAATGCATCAAGACAAGAAAAAATGGCCAAAACAAAAGAACAGATCAAAACTCCATAAAAAATAGAACTAAGTGATGAAGAGATAGCCAACCTATCAGATGCACAGTTCAAAACACTGGTAGTCAGGATACTCACAGAATTGGTTGAATTTGGTTGCAAATTAGATGAAGAAATGAAGGCTATGCTAAGTGAAATAAAGGAAAATGTAGGGGAAACCAATAGTGATGGGAAGGAAACTGGGACTCAAATCAATGCAGTGGACCAGAAGGAAGAAAGAAACAACTAAGCAGAAAAGAATGAAGAAACAAGAATTCAAAATAATGAGGAGAGGCTTAGGAACTTCCAGGACATCTTTACACATTCCAACATCCGAATTATAGGGATACCAGAAGGGGAAAAGGAAGAGCAACAAGTGGAAAAGTTATTTGGACAAATAATAAAGGAGAACTTCCCCAATCTGGTGAAGGAAATAGACTTCCAGGAAGTCCAGGAAGCTCAGAGAGTCCCAAAGAAGTTGGACCCAAAGAGGAACACACCAAGGCACATCATAATTACATTACCCAAGATAAAAAGGAGAGAATTCTAGAAGCAGCAAAAGATAAGGATACAGTCACCTACAAAGGGTTACCCATCAGCCTGTCAGCTGATTTCTCAAAAGAGACCTTGCAGGCAAGAAGGGGCTAAAAAGTATTCCAAGTCATGAAAGGCAAGGACCTATATCCCAGATTGCTCTATCCAGCAAAGCTTTCATTTATAATGGAAGGGCAGATAAAATGCTTCTCAGATAAGGTCAAGTTGAAGGAGTTCATCATCACCAAGTCCTTATTATATGAAATGTTAAAGGGACTTATCTAAGAAAAAGAAGATAAAAAACATGTATGGTAAAATGACAGCAAACTCACAATTATTAACAACCACACCTAAAACAAAAACAGAAACAAACTAAGCACACAACTAGAACAGGAACAGAATCACAGAAACAGAGATCATATGGGGGGTTATCAAAAGGGGAGTGGGAGGAGAGTGGGGGGAAAGGTACAGAAAATAAGTAGCATAGATGGTAAGTAGGATATAGACAGGGAGAGGGTAAGAATAGTATGGGAAATGTAGAAGCCGAGAACTTATGACACATGGACATGAAGTAAAGCAGGGGAATGTGGGTGGGAGGGGGTGTGCAGGGTAGAGGGGAGTGAGGGGGGAAAATGGGAAAACTGTAATAGTGTAATCAATAAAACATTAAAAACATTAAAAAAGCATAAATAATAGGTACAAAATAGAGGGAGGACATAAAACGCCCCCCTGCATCCATTTGGTTAAAGGACAACACTCCAACCAACTGAGTCACACCAACAAGGGCTAACTGAAAAATTTGCTGAGAGTAGATCTTAAGAATTCTCATGAATTCAAAACTGGTTACTGTGTGAGATGATGATTGTGATAATTATCTTGATTATGGGAACATTTTCACAATGTATATATTGAGTGATCACATTGTAGACTTTAAATATGTTATAATTACATTTTTCAATTATGCATTATTTCAGTAAGCCTGGATAAAGAAAGGAAAATGTGATATATATGCACAATGGAAGATTGTTCAGTTTTACAAAGGGAAATCAATTCTGCGATTTACAACACATGGATGGAGCTGGAGGACATTATGCTAAATTAAATAAGCCAGACACAGAAGGGCAAATACTTCCTGATACCACTTTTATGATGAATCTGTAATAGTCAAATGAATAAAAGCAAAGAGTAGATAGTTGTTTCTGGAACTGGGTGGAGGAGGAAATGTGGAGGTAATAGTTAAAGGGTCCAAAGTTTCAGCTGGGCAAGATAGATATGTTCTGAAGATTTGTTGTGCAACATAAGGCCTATAGGTATCAATATCCTATTTTACAGTTAAAAATTTGCTAAGAAAGTAAATACTACGTGCTCTTATCATAAATACATAGAAAAAAAATAAAGGGCAGGAGGAAACTTCCAAAGATGATGGATAAGTTTACAGCCTTGATGGTTTTACAGGTATATACTTATTCCAAGTTCATCAAGTTGTATATTAAATATGTACAGCTTTTTGTGTATTAGCATAAGCTAATAAAACAGTTTAAACACAACTTCATAGTCTCATTGAGAGGGCAGGGAAAGAACATGAGAACACAAGTCACAAAAGAAGATAGCACAGAATGACTGAAAATGTGGGCATGATCTTTTTGAACTGGAATTGTTGGGGACTCTCACATGGAAGGGAGATAAGAAATGGATGTATCAAGCATGTAATTCACTGTGATTTACTTCAAGGGAAGTAAAAAATAATAGGTCAGTGTTAATGCAATTGTTTTTGGTTTCAGAATAAGAAGATTGAGATGTTTCAATCTCCAAGGGCCAGACAGGTTATCATCATGCCACACATGCATTCCCACTTCCTTCCCCAGTCACTAAATACACAGCTAGCTCAGCTCAAATCAAGTGAAGGTATGGAGTGTGTTTCAGATTTATTGTCCATGCCATGAATAAAGACCAGAAATTCTCCAGGAAAATAGGATATGCTTAGAAGTCAGAGAGGGGTTTCAAGCCAGAAACAGAAGAATTAAGGTCCAACCTCAAGGAGAGTAACTGAGAACAACAATACTGTGGCACCCATGGATCAAGAATTAAAGTCAAGATCTGGGGCCAAGTGTTTGGAGCCAGGAGTTGAGGTCAAACAATAGCAAATCAGGCTGAGGTGAGGAGTCTAGAACTATTGTCTTGAATGTTTATTAGTGTCCAGAGTTCTTATGTTAGTGATTTTCAACTTTTTTTATCTCAGTAATTAGCACACATAATTACTAAAATTCTGTGATATACCATAAAATATATTTTTTGCTGATCTAATAAAAATAGGTATAATTTTGATTCATTCACACTGGATGGCTATTTTTATGTTGACTCTTGTCATTTTTTATTTGACAGTCTAAGGGAAAAGAGGTTAGTGCCCCTGACAAAATAGTAGGTATATTGCATGTTTAAAAAATTCTTGTGGCACAGTGGTGGAAAATTGCTGCCTTATGGGCTGGCAGTGATAAGAAATGTAATGGGCCTGCTGAGCTGTGAGTTTCAGCAGTGATGTGGGCAAGCAGCTGGTAAACCAAATATCAGAGGCCCAGCTTAGCTCTGACAAAAGTGCAGCTAATAAGTCCATTAGGGGCTGCAGGTATTGCTGAGGCTACAGTATGACATCAGGAGCCAGTACCCAACTCATCACCAAGAAACCAAGAAACTAAGTAGCTACAGAAAATAAGTAGCATAGAAACCAAGTCATCACCCTAGACCTCATCTTGGGAAGACAGGTTGGCCCAGTGTTTCTCTGTATGAAAGTCTTTGTGATCATCATTTAAGACCTGATTCTTCTCATCTGTGTTGGTGTAACTGAGGAAAGCAAAGATTGTAATTGAAACAGAGTGTCTGGGTTGGATCATAAATAAAACTAGACTCTGTTGTAATGTGGAGTTAGACACAGGAAACATTATAGTCTGTGCTATGTAATGGGATTCCAGGGCATTATAAGGGGAGTATTCAACAAGTTAGGAAGTAGCAATTAGTAGAAACCAAGTTGCAATGAGTGATAAAATATAGGGCTTCTGAAGTAAGTTACCATGAACAGGAGTTTGGTGAACTATCAGGATAAGGCTTGACAAGTAGGCCTTGTGGGGCAGGACAGCAATGGTTCAGTTCAGCCTCCATGCTGATCTAGATCTCTGGGAGGTACCTGAACAGCCTAGATGGAAAGGGCTGTGTGTTAATAAGGAAAGAGCTTTATCACTTGGGGCACATGTTGCTCTACTATGGGATCCTGCTTCAACAATTACAGTATGGGAAGTAAAAGACCTTTTCCCACCAGCTGAGGAAACCTGGCATTATAGATTCTACAATGTGTGAGGAGTTGCCACAGAAGCATCAAAAGTAGGAGCAAGTCAGCACCACCTAAGGGGTGGCCAAAAGGGAGGACTGGGGACATGGGGCTTCTGGTGTGTGGACCTAAGCAAAGCATTGATACGAGATGAAGTCCTAGGGATCTAGTAGGAAGCAGAGATGATAGGAACAGCAGTACGGCAAACAATTGCCTTATAGTCACCGGAAGTTAAAGTTCACTGGGAATTGGTTGCAACAGTGTCTCAGCAGCTCAGGGCTCCAAACTGGTTACTAGACTAATACTCAGAAAGCCCAGCTAAGGAAGTGGGGAGATGAGGAGAAGGAAGTTAAGGGAAGTCCATCCCATAAAAGCCAAGTGAGGGGCTCTCCAATAACTAGAGCAGGAAGCAAAAGAGTGATCCCTGCCAGGTGGCAGCTCCCCAGCCATTGTCCTTATAGGCTGCTGATGCCTCTACAACCTCTCACCTGCCCAACCCCTGCCTGGAAATGCCAAGAATCTCCCAGCTCTTTCCCACTATCTGGATAGTAATGTTGAGGTGAAGGATGAAGAGAAGTTGGTGCAGCACGTCCTGGCGGCTGAAATCTGCAGATGCAGGTTGCTTTTGCAATAGTTATGGAGTAGTTAATAGTAAGTTAATAGTTAAGTCATTGTGCAACTTGCTGGTTTTCTCTGGACCTCATATTTCTGGATATTTATAAAAACCAGAACCTGAGGATATGACTTAACTCACAGAACTGCCATGTTGTGCAGGTGAGATTATGGACTGAGGGTGCTTTGTACACCCTAAGGTGCATAGTGCTAGGAATATTGGTGGCAGGTTTCCAGAACCCAGGTGGGGGTTGAGTGAGTGAGTTAACAAGAAAGAAAACCACCACTTCCTGAAGAGTTCTCAAAGAGTAGGGCTGGGCAGTTGGGGTTTCAAGGCAGCATAAACAGTTAGTGCTTGCCAAAGAAAGGCTAGTTTGCTTGGAGTCCCTGAGGAAGCAATGGTGAGTGTCTCTGTCCTTGCCTCTCGTGTTGTTTTCCCTGTGTTGAGTGAGTATCCCCAGGCCCATCAGGGGTGGTCTGTTTTACTGGTGTTGAGGAAGGCAGTAGCTGTTCTGGTCTAGGAGGGGTGGGTGTGGATGTGAGACAGGGACAGATTTGGGGAATAAGGAACACCCTTCTGCCCCTCACTCTGCTGCTTTTTCTCAGTGGGAGATTTGCCCAGAAAGCAAATCTTAGTTCCCAAGTCCCTCTCACATGGTAACTGGATGTCCTACTGGACATCTGTTCTTTCCTACACCTAAAATTACCCTTTCCCTGACTGAGCACATTTCAGAGGGGCCCCTTGTCCCTGAGGCCCAAGTCATCTCAGGTAGACTGAGCAGGACTCCAGGTGTCCTAGCTGCAAATATAGTATCTCTGAGGACTTTTGCCTTGGGAAAAACTTTTTTCATGGAGACAGAGTCTAGTCCAGGAATGCCCCAATCACCTGGTGAACATGCAGCCATGTACCCATGTTGTGCTCAGAACAAGTGTCGCTAAGTGGCTTTGGACTTTAGCTTCTTCTCAGACCTGTACTGCAGATTGCCAGTGCTAGTCCATCCAAGACCACAAGTGGTAGGAAACAGATTTGCCTTTTTAGAGCCAAGCCAACTTTTTTCTTTTTAGTTTGTACTAACATTTATTTAATTTTAATTTATTTTTTTTTTAATTTAAATTTTTTTTTTACAATTTTTAAGTCATTTTCCAAGTACAGTTTTCTGCCTTTTCCCCCCACCCCTCCCCACCACCTCAGCCCTTCCCACCTCCCTCCCCCATTCCAACTTAATGATGCAGTAGGGAGAAGAAGGTTCAAGGAGGGAAAAGGTACTGCCCAAAGGCACTTGATGAATCCTTCCTGATGGGACAGATGCCTCAGTGAGGAGTTCTACATCTTATCCACTGTCACTGCTGGTGGCAGTGACCAAGGGAAGTCACTAGAAGGGACAAAACAGGACATCTGAGAAGAGGTAGATGCTGCTGTGAGCCCATGTCTGAATTTCAGCTAGGTAACCATGCCCTCCCAGACCAGGCTGTGTGCCTACTTGTCCTAAACTGCCTTGGAGGTCCTGCTGCTTCTTATCCCAAAGATGGGGAGAGGAGGTAGGAGATGTGCCTCCCCTGACCTCTAGGAGCTGTGCTAAGCACTCACCCATGTTCTAGAACTGAGAATGTGTCCTTTTTCTTCATGTCTATCACCTAGGCCATGTCTCTTCTCCTCTTTTCCACGCTGATCCTTCTCACTCAGCCTCCAAGGTCACTGGGAACAGAAATGAAGACCTATTCCCAGAAAACAATGCCCAATGCCTGCACCCTGGTCATGTGTAGCCCCGTGGAGAATGGCCTGCCTGGTCGTGATGGACGAGATGGGAGAGATGGCCCCCAGGGCGAGAAAGGGGATCCAGGTAGAGCTGGGACCATGGGCCTGTCCTAGGGGGAGGGGGTGGCTTTGGAACTGTAACCAATTCAGCAACCCTGGATATTGTGCTGTGGAAGCCTTGGAAATGGACACTCACCTCCTTGGGAAGGAGAAGTCCTGTAGACACTCAGTCCATCTAAAACAGTGCTTTACCAGCTGCCAAGTGACTGACTATCCTGAGCCTCCATGTGTCTCCCCACATCACCCAGCTGCCCTGATTTCTCCCCTGGGATCTTCTTCTTTTTTATTTTATTTTACTTATTTATTTTTTGAGACAGAGGAAGGGAGAGAGAGAAACATCCATGTGCGAGAGAAACATCAATTGGTTGTCTCTCGCACAGTCCCAGCTGGGGGCCTGGACTGCAACTCAGGCATGTGCCCTGACCAGGAATCGAACCAATGAACTTTTGGTTCACAGGTTGGTGCTCAGTCTACTTAGCCACACCAGTCAGGGCTCCTCTAGGATCTGATTCCTCTTACCCAAAATATGAGCCAATAGTGTGTAAATGACTGGAACTTGGGGTGCTGTAGAGCCATGCTCCTACACTTAGCAAATGTTCATTGAGGGTAAATGGGGCCTGTGCAGGGTGTTAAATATTTTATTAAACTAAAGTGCAAGAAGGGTGAAAATGGATGTGGCTCAGTTGTCCATACTCAGGCCTGATCTAAAGGATTTGTCTTAAATATTCTACAGAGTGAAGGAAAGGGAGTTCATATTTCATTGTCCAGCTGTGTGCTTGAGCATTCACTTGTATATAAATTTAATCCCACTTATCAGGGACACATTACTTCATTTAACAGGTAATAAATATGAGATTCAAGGAGGCAACATGGAAGGGGATAAGGAGAAGGGCTTCTGGGTCAGACAGGTGTGTGCTTGATTGCTAGCTCCATCTCCAGCAGGGACACCTTGGGACAAGCCACTCAATGTCCCTGAGTCTCAGTTTGCTCATGTGTCAGTGGGAAGGTTATTTGCCACATAGTGACAACTAATTGAGCCAAGGCTTTATTTTATTGAGTCATCAGGATAAAGTTGCATCTTCCTGCTATACCATCAGGTGAATTCTCCTGAGCTTTGCAAAGGTACTATTACTAAGGGTGTTATCCAAGAAATACTGTCTCATATGGGATAGTCTGAGTGTGACTGGCAAGAAGGGAGAATTCAGTAAAGCAGCAATGAGGGTGAAGGGCCAAAAGGGGCACTTGGCTTGGGCTATAGATGCACCAACTGTGCATTTATCTTTGCAGAGGTTGTGTTTTGGTTGGAAGAGGAAGAAGGCATTTAAGCTGGAAAGAATAGGTAACATTGCCAGGCTTTGCAGGGTGAGGAACAAGCAAGTATCCATCTGTCTTTTACAGAGAGAAGGTAGCTCCCAGTGGGAAAGGACTGGGTCTTAAGAAGGCTGCCTGGAAGTGTTCTTAGAAGAACGGTGGTTTTTAAGGTGCCAGCTCTCCCTTGGAGACTCCCAGCTCTCTGTAGCATCCAGAGGGACCCTGAATTGAATCCTGGGGAGGACGCCCTTTCCTAGGTGGTCCTCTAACCTGTGGCATGGAGTCTGGCTGAAGCCTCCCTTTCTTCTGCATGTGCTTCGTGCACATCCCAAGCCTAGGGTTGGTGCTTGGAGAGAGAACAGTGCACACTAGGCCTGGGGGCCCAGGCTCCACACTGGCTTCTTAATTCCAGGCACATTAGTCACTTAATCTTAATGGGTCTGAGAATTTATTGGAGCACTCTAGTAGCCTCAGTACCCTCACCAGGTAGGTCTGGGTGCGACTTGTGACACCTGCCCTGCAGATTCTGATGCACGTGGTCCCAGGAAGCTGCTGTAAAGGACAAGATGGGCCTGAGATGAGAGACCCTTGAGCAGAGGTGGAATGTGGAGCCCAGGTTTCCATGGTGATGCCCAGACATACCATGGAGGGCCAATGAGACCTGGGCCCTGCTTTGTAAGCTGTATTTACAGGGACAATTCACTTAGTTCTCAGTGGATTCAGCAGAGTGCCCCCGGGAACATGCACCTCCCTTGGAGAAGACCACACACTTCACAGCAGCCCACATGGCCTCTCTCTTCCCCTGCTTACTTGTCTGATCTTGTCGCCTTCTCCACCTCCCCACAGTCCCTGGGCTCCCACCACACTGGCCTTTCACTGATCTGTCAGTACACTTGGGGGCCTGCCTCCCCAGGGCCCTGTCACTGCTCTTCCCAGAGGCACACTCCTCACCACCTTCCTAGCCTCACTCACAAACCAATAGCTTCTCTGACCACCCACTTAGAAGATACACCTGACAACACTCTCCACACTTAATATCTGTTTCTGTGAAGTTGAATTTAAGCTTCATGAGGAAGGGATCTGAATTGTTGTCTTTCTCTTTCTCTATTATTGCCCTGCATTTAGGACAGTATGGTGTAGAAGCTCTGAGAACACTGTGGAATGAATGAATGTGAGATGCAAGGAGAAGAGGAGTTTCGGTACAGTTGAGAGTGACCACACTTCTGGTCCATGAAGCTTCACTTCAGGTGCAATTAGAGTACAGGGATACATCTCTTGGGGAAACTAGGATGCAAAATTAGTACTTCAGGAGACATGAGTGCTTGCTGATGAGGGTGTGTCTTCTCCATCTGAGTGCTCTCCTGGCATCCATGCTTGTGTGCTGAGGATGGGTCACCTTGAATGTGCCCTTCTATGGGTTGTCTTCTTCTCTTGGCCCATCTACCTGTTGCCATGTTGGCCAGGATGAAACCAAACGGGAAGCTCAGCCTGGGGTCAGGGCATCTCTGCCCCGCATAGTGTGCTGTTGAATATGAAATATGGGGCTCATCCTGGAACCCTCCATGTTCCATTTCATTCCTAGTGAGGACTGTAACTGGAAGCAGAACACCATGCCCAGTACACAGCCTCTTAAAGGCACCAGTCCTCCACCACCAGCACATTCTTGCCCCAGGCAGGTCTGACCCAATCCTGCCCTGAGAGCAGGATTTCCAAGTCTGAAATGTCACCTCTCCTCTACAAATCTCTCTGCATCCTTTTCACCCTTTAAGTCCTACTTTGTCCTTCAGTAAAAGAGCTCTGAGACTATATGTGTGTGTGCTGTGATGGGGTGAGGGGCATCTCACATATTGTCTTCCACACTCATTTCCTGTGCCTCCCAGTTTCACATTCTGCTACAAATCCCTTGCAGGACTGGACCTGGCAGTAACATTTGTATCTTGCCCACTGCCAGGCATGAAGTTCTGTTCCATAAATGGTTTCTTAGTGAACCAATAAATGGAACAATGAGCAAGTGGACAAATATGTGAATGAACATGTTAGCACCACCTGTCAGATAGTATTTCTTTTTTAAAAATTTTTTTCTTTGCCCTGGCTGGTGTAGCTCAGTGGATTGAGCGCGGGCTGCGAACCAAAGTGTCGCAGGTTTGATTCCCAGTCAGGGCACGTGCCTGGGGTCACAGGCCACGACCCCCAGCAACCGCACATTGATGTTTCTTTCTCTCTCTCTCTCTTTCTCCCTCCCTTCTCTCTCTAAAAATAAAAAAAACAAATAAGATCTAAATAAATAAATAAATAAATAATTTTTTCCTTTGTTTTATCTTTTTTTTTTGCTTTGTTATACCATCAGTCTTACTCATTTTTTAAAAACTGAATTTATTGGGATGATATTGGTTAATAATATTATATACATTTTAGGTTACAATGTATTATACATCATCTGTACATTGTATTGTGTGTTCACCACCCAAAGTCAACTTTCCTTCTATCACCATTTATCCCCTCTGTACCCTCTCCTGTCTCACTCCACACCTTTCCTCCTCTTGTGTCTTTTTTTGCCTATGAATGCTTATAGCAGCTTAATTTGGAACAATTAAAAGATGCAAACAAACAAATGCCCATCAACTAATGAATGGATAAATGAAATGTGTTCTATCCATATTCAAAGCATATTATTGAGCATACCAAGGAATGAAGTATTGAGACATGCTGCAAGGTGAATAAACCTTAAGAAGTCACTCCCAGTTAATAAAGTCAGATACAAAAGGTAATATATTGTATGATTTCATTTGCATGAAATATCTAGAATAGGTAATAGAGGCAGAAAGCAGAATAGTGATACCAGGGGCTGGGTTAAGAAATAGGGGATAAGGAGTGACTGTTCAACGGCTATGAGATTTTCTTTTAGGGTGACTAAATGTTTTAGAACTAAACAGAGGCAGTAGTTGCATGACATTGTGAAGGTGCTAGATGCCATATACTTTAAAGAGATTAATTTTACATTATGTAAATGTCACCACAATAAAAAAAAGAATCACCAAACTTATAGAATTGAGTGTAAAATTCTTTTTTTTAAAGAAAGTATATTTTAAAGATTTTATTTATTTATTTATTTATTTATTTTAGAGCAAGTGGAAGGGAAAGAGGAAGAGAGGGTGAGAAACATCAGTGTGTGGTTGCCTCTAGAACGCCTCCAACTGGGGACCTGGCCTGCAACCCAGGCATGTGCCCTGACTGGGAATCAAACCAGTGACCCTTTGGTTCACAGGCTGGCACTCAATCCACTGAGCCACTCCAGCCAGGGCAAGTGTAAAATTCTTAAATATTAATATCCATTTGCTCCCTTTACTTTTTTGGGTAAATCTTGTATAATTTCCGGCTTAGGCAGCCTTTGCTGAGGTAACACGTCCCTTTTAAAAGTTTGGTTATTTTTCCAAAAGAAAAGTGATATATGGTCACTACAGATAAACAAAAAGAAGGAAATTAAAATTACCTTAATCGTACCACTCAGAAAAAACCAACTTAACACTTTTGTATAAGCCTTTCCTGTGTTTTTTTCCAAAATGTATTACATGTGCACATACCCTACAACGTCTCCACATATTATTGAAAGAGAATCATATTGAATGTAGTATTTATAACATACTTTTATTATTTAATGATGCATTAGATAATAATTTGGTCTATTTTCTAAGGGCTCAAAGGTATGTTGCAGGACTTTTCTAATTTTTAAAATTGAGATATAATTGACATAGAACATTGTGTTATTTTCAGGCCTACAACATAATGATTCAATATTTGTATATATTGTGAAATGATCATCCATTACCACATATAGTTATATTTTTTCTTGTGATGAACACTTTAAGATGTATTCTCTTGGCAATTTTAAAATATACAATACAGTGCTATTAAGTATAGGCACCATTCTGTACATTACATCTCTAAGGAATTAGTTATTTTATGATCAAATGTTTGTATGTTTTCACCAGCTCCATGTGTTTTGCCTGCCACCCAACTCCTACCTCTTGCAACCACCAATAATCTGATCTCTATAGTTATTGTATGAGTACTATTTTTCTTTTAGAATCCACATATAAGTGAGATCATACTGTTTTTGTGTTTCTTTGCTTGAATTATGTCAGTTACCATAATCCCTGAAGGTCCATTCATGTTCTTGCAATTGGCAAGATTTTTTCTTTTTATGTCTGAATAATATTCCTCTGCATGTGTGTGTATCACATTGTCTTTATCCATTCATCCACAGTGGACACTTAACTTGTTTCTATTATTGATTACTATAAATAATGCTGCAGTGAACATGAGGGTACATATATCTTTTCTTTTAAATATTCTTTTTCTTTTTAAAAACAATTATATTTATTTTGGAGAGAGGGGAAGGGAGGGAGAAAGAGAAGGAGAGAAACATTGATGTGATGGAGAAACACTGATTGGTTGCCTCTTGCACCCCACAACCAGGGACCTTGCCTGCAACCCTGCATGTGCCCTGACTGGGAATGGAACCAGTGACTTTTCCCATTTACAGGATGATGCTCAACCCACTGAGCCACACCACTCAGGTTCTGATAGCTTTTGAATTAGTGCTTCATTGTCTTTATATAAATACCCAGAAATGCTTTGCTGGGTCATATTTTTATTTTTTGGTTCTATTTTTAATTGTTTGAGGAAAATGCTTATTGGTTTCTATAGTGGCAGCACCAACTTACAGTCCCACCCACAGGGCACAAGGGTTCCTTTTTCTCAACATCTTCACCAACACTGTTATACTTTGTCTTTTTCATAATAGTCATTCTAACTGATGTGAGGTGATATCTTGCAGGTTGATTTGCATTTCCCTGATGATTAGTGTCACATGTCATTTCAGATAAAATTTTGGATCTGGGAGGAGGAAAGCAAGGAGTCCATGATCAAGGGTAAATGTTGTCAGATTGCCTGCTGTAAACACTGCAGTCTGTCTAGTCACCATCATCCTCGAGCAGGTTAGGGTAGGCATTACTGGGCAGTAGGGAGAGTTGGCTTGCCAGGAGGGTCCATCACTGGCCATGAGGAACTCTCTGTACCTGGAGGGAGTGTGCTGTGAGCCACAGGGATAGTCTTATATACAAGGAAGGTTGGTTGCTGGGTGGTGGAAATGGTCCATGTACAGACAGGGGATGTGGCTGTGTTTGGAACAGACTGTGTGAGGGTGAAAATGCTGGGAAATGTGCACAGAGCTCACCCAACTCTTCTCTGATCTCAGGGCCTGCAGGAGCCATGGGCCCACAGGGACCTCCAGGTGCCAGGGGTCCCCCAGGACTGAAGGGGGACAGAGGTGCTCCTGGAGACAGAGGAGCAAAAGGAGAAAGCGGGCTTCCAGGTAAGGTAGCCTCCCTTAGCTTTGGGAACCCCGACTAGTGGGGGAGGGAGGAGGGCTCTCTTCAGCTCAGGATAGCCCCTCCACTCAGTGGTCAGTGTGTTTCAGGCGTGCATGAAAAGCAGACAAGGCTGACAGGCTGGAAGGCAGGAAGATTGGGCTCTGGTTTTAGACTCTGTTACTTGGTGCAGGGTAGGCCTGAGCAGTTTTTCCCCATCTGGTCATTTGGACAAGCACAACTCCCATTCCATTCACTGGATAACTTTGAGCATCAAATAATCCAGGGATGGGAAGTACTTGAGGAGTGTGCAATCCTGTCCCCCCACCCCACCTCCCAAAGGAAGTGCTGTCAGATTCTCAGAATGTGAAGTGACAGTGTCATCTGGATCAGTGTCAGTGGGGTGCAAGGACCTGCTCAGGGGACAGTTTGTTCACAACAGCAGCACAGGAAATGTTGTGGGCAGCAGGGCCTGTTGTGTCAGCAGATGTGGGCTTTGGGGGGCCAGTCCCAGCTCCTTACTCTACCCCCAATAATGCCAGCAACTGGGCACCCTTCCCTTGAGGCCCAGACTCTGAGCCAATCCCTGGCTGTGCTGGACTAGTCTTCAGTCTACTCCTCTCTCTGCAGACATCACTGCTTTGAGGAGGCAGGTGGAAGCCCTACAGGGACAGGTACAGCGTCTTCAGGGTGCCTTCTCTCTGTACAGGAAAGGTGAGTTCCTGGACCTGGACCTGAACTTGAGCCAGACACTGGGGGATAGGCCCCAGACTGGGTCTGTGTTTTGTTTTGGAGTTGGCTGGGTCTGAGGCAGGCATGGGTCTGGGACTGTAGTGGGATGGGGGTGACTGGCTAGACCTGGGACTGGGGCAGGGAGTGGGGCTAAGGCTAAGGATAAGGGTGGAACAGAGCAGTGCAGCCACCTGTTCTTGGAACTGGAAGTAGATGCAAGGGGCAAGTAGCTGGATGTGTCCCTTATCATGAGTTCAGTGGGCTGGCAGAAGCATGGTCAAGGCTATGCGGCTCCAGAATGCCCCCAAAATCACAGCCAACTGTGGCCCAAGCCACATCAATGCCCTGAGCCCAGGGCAGTCCAGCAGACCTTACTCTTGCCAACCCTGTGTGGGTCCCTGTCATATATGGGGATGCCTAACCACCCAGGATGCATTTCTTAGCTCTGTGGGGCTAGGTGTAGGAAAACCCCAAGATGTTGCTGCCCAGCCCACAGCAGCAGAGACTGCAGACTCTGCTCTGAGAGTTGAGGCTGGGATGCTGTCCTTGGATCAAGACTGGTGAGAGCCAGATGTTCACATTTGGCCCTGAGAATCTCACCTGAGGCATGCCCTGGGTCTGGTAGGGGGCTGGTGGTCTCTGGGCTCTGGGTGTTCAAAGCAGACATTGCTCCCAAAGCCTGGAATGCTGAGGAGTCTGAGGCCTCCAGGAGCACACACCCGAGTGCCCTGTGCCTGTGAGAATCTCCTCCTCTCTCCCTATTTTGCTCACCCTGACCCCTGCTCTCCCTGATGTCACCTTTGAATTCAAATCATTCAGCACATCTCACTGATCCAAAAAAAAGAAGAGTTCCTGATGGAGGAAAGCATAAAGGGTGAGGCATAGGGTTGGCTCCAGAGCATCTAAGCCCACTAAGTACCTACATATCAAGGATTTGCACATGTACTTACTCACTCACTCACTCTACATACACGAGCACAAACACTTATGCAGGCACACACAAATAGTCACACACATTCAGATGGACCTTTTAGGCTCCCATTACCTTGTGATGGAACATAGCTATATTCATGTATGCACATGTGTACCCATGTAGATGCATGTAATGGCATGTGACCTCTTGTACTGACCTTGTATAAGGCTACTCTGGGTGCCATCTTGAATCTGTGGATAATGTGCACTATGAGCCCTTGTGGAAGGTACTCACAGGTCAAGGGCAGTGGGTTGGGGTGCAGCCTGGGCTCCTGACCAGCTCTGTGAGATCCAGTCATAGCCCTCTGAGGAGCCCTGAAGATTTCTATGCACAAACCCAGACATCAAAGGAATGGAAAATGAGGCAGAATAAAAACAGATAGTTAAGTGTCATACAAGTGATAGTTTTATAAAATATATTTTCCATTTAGAGATGAGAAATTGGAAGCCCTGTAAAAGGAATTGACTTTCCCTTGTCCTCCTGGACAGTCATTGTCAAGGTGGGGTGAAACAACCTGGCCTTCTGATTCCCAGACAGGGCTCTGCAGCACTGATTTTCTCTCTGTCCCCCCACTCCCACACACACAGATCAGATGCCTTCAACACCTCACCCAGCACTCTAGCTTCACCCACATGCACACCATGAAGCCAGCATTGGGCTGCACACAGTGCAGAGATTAGCACATTGCTGCTTGGAGATGGCCCACCCATTCTTTTCCTTTCCCACACCCCACACACAGCGCAGACCTTCTGACAATGACATGTGCCCTACTGTTACGTGGGTTCCAAGTGAGATCAGAGGGAGCACCTGCATTGTTATCCATGGTCTCAGAGACTGGCCCAGGCTGCAGGGTGCCATTCCAATGGCTAAAGTTGTCCCAGCTCTAACCAGTAATTAGAAAACCAATTCTGACATGCAACGTTGGGTAATATAGAAAGAGCATGTGTTAGCTTTAGTGTCAGATCAACTAAGTTTTAATTCCTAACTACATTCGATGGTTACATGACAAGGAGCCTCTTACTTAACCTTTGAACTCAGGGTTCACACCTGTAACTAGAGACCCCAGAGTCACCTTAATAGAAAGCCTTGTAAAGTTGGGGCTACTCTGGTACCAAGTGTTTCACTTTTGTCCTATCTGGTGCTCTGATACCCTGTGTGGGAGGCCTGGACCTCTGGTTGGAGCACAAGGGTCCCCTGAGCTTTGGCTGGGTGTTGTCAGAACCTAAAGCTAATTGTCCTCTTCTGTTAGTGGGTCTGTTTCCTGATGGCCGAGTTGTTGGAGAGAAGATATTCAAGACAGGAGGCTTTGAAAAATCTTTTCAGGATGCACAGCAAGTATGCAGACAGGCTGGGGGGCAGTTGCCCTCCCCACACTCTGCAGCTGAGAATGAGGCCTTGCAACAGCTGGTCGCAGCTCAGAACAAGGCTGCGTTCCTGAGCATGACTGACTCCCAGACAGAGGGCAAGTTCACCTACCCCACAGGGGAGTCCCTGGTGTATTCCAACTGGGCCCCGGGGGAGCCCAACAACAGTGGTGGGGAAGAGGACTGTGTGGAAATATTCGACAATGGAAAGTGGAACGATAAGTCCTGTGGAGAGAAGCGCCTTGTGATCTGTGAGTTCTGAGCCACCCAAGGTGGATGGGGCACTCGTGGCCCAGAAGCCTGGCCAGCAAGTCAGGGCCCAGACCTGTGAGCTGCCAACATCCCATCAAGAAGATGACATCTCTGCTGGCCATGGCTTCTCCACAGAGCCATGGGATGAGGCCAGAGGTAGGGCTCCTGTGGAACACCTCTCTCAGAATAAAATATGAATCTGGCATCACACACTGGCTGACCTGTCATTGGAGGAAGGGACAGCCTGCATTCCCAGTCCCAACGGATAAAATTGGGTGTCAAAGACTGCCCTGTCACAAAATCCAATGGTTCCTCTTCTGCCCTCTGTGTTCTCAAACTGTCAGACACAGAAGTGACTGCTCAACTTCTCTGTTACTCTTCCTCCTCTTTCTTCAAGACATCACTCTCGCTTTTATCCTTATAGTCGTTCTTTTTTAAAATTTCTTTTTAATATATTTTATTTATTATGCTATTAAAGTTATCCCATTTCACCCCCTTCACTTCCCTCCACCCTGCACACCCTCTCCCACCCATAATTCCCCCCTTTAGTTCATGTTCATGTGTCATACTTATAAGTCCTTTAGCTTCTACATTTCCCATACTATTCTTGCCATTCCCCTATTTTCTACCTACCATCTATGCTACTTATTTTCTGTACCTTTTCCCCCTCACTCCTCCTCCCACTCCCCTGTTGATAACTAACCCTCCGTGTGATCTCTATTTCTGTGGTTCTGTTCCTGTTCTAGTTGTGTGCTTAGTTTGTTTCTGTTTTTGTTTTAGGTGTGGTTGTTAATAATTGTGAGTTTGCTGTCATTTTACTATACATGTTTTTTATCTTCTTTTTTAGATAAGTCCTTTTAACATTTCATATAATCAGGGCTTGGTGATGATGAACTCCTTCAACTTGACCTTATCTGAGAAGTACTTTATCTACCCTCCTAACTGAAAGCTTTGCTGAATAGAGCAATCTTGGATGTAGGTCATTGTCTTTCATGACTTGGAATACTTCTTTCCAGCCCCTTCTTGCCTGCAAGGTCTCTTTTGAGAAGTCAGCTGACAGTCTGATGGGAACTCATTTGTAGGTTACTATCTCCTTATCTTTTGCTGCTTCTAGGATTCTCTCCTTCATTTTATCTTGGGTAGTGTAATTATGATGTGCCTTGGTGTGTTCCTCCTTGGGTCCAACTTCTTTGGGACTCTCTGAGCTTCCTGGACTTCCTGGAAGTCTATTTCCTTTGCCAGAATGGGGAAGTTCTCTTTTATTATTTTTTCAAATAACTTTTCCACTTGTTGCTCTTCCTTTTCCCCTTCTGGTACCCCTATAATTCAGATGTTGGAATGTTAAAAGATGCCCTGAAGGTTCCTAAGCCTCTCCTCATTATTTTGAATTCTTGTTTCTTCTTTCTTTTCTGTTTGGTTGTTTCTTCCTTCTGGTCCACTGCATTGATTTAAGTCCTAGTTTCCTTCCCATCACTATTGGTTCCCTGTGCATTTTCCTGTATTTCACTTAGTGTAGCCTTCATTTCTTCATCTAATTTGTGACCAAATTCAACCAATTCCATGAGCATCCTGATCACCAGTGCTTTGAACTGTGCATCTGATAGGTTGACTATCTATCTCTTCATCACTTAGTTGTATTTTTTCTGGAGCTTGGATGTGTTCATTCGTTCATTTCAGCTTTGTTTCAGCTTTTTTCGTTTGTTTTGTTTGTTTTTTTTTTATCTTGACATGCCTGTTGTGTAGTGAGGGGCAGAGCCTTAGGTATTCACCAGGGCAGGGTAACCCACGTCGCTAGGTTGTGATGCTGTTTGTGGGGGAGGGATCTGAGAGGGAACAATTGCACTTGCTACACTCTCTGCTGGATTTTAGTCCCATCCACTACTTCCCCCAAGCAAACTGGGCCCTTCTGGTGCTGATTTCCATGTGGGTGGGGTTGTGTATGTTCTACGACCCTGTGGGCCTCTCCAACGAACTCTTCTGTAAGGCTGTGAGTCTCTCTGGGCAACTCAACTCCCACAGGTGTTTTCAATTGGTATTTTGAGGCTTTATTTTCTCAGGCTGGAGCCCTGGGTTGTGTGGTCTGTCTCGCTGCTCAGTTTTGCCTGGTTTATCTGGGCTTGAATGTTGGACTGCCTGGTCCTCCAGCCACCTTGCTTGCCTCTCCCATCCACAATCCGCCTCCTCGCTGGGTTAGCCCACTGCGACCCTGCACTGGGGGATCTGCCAGCCACTGCTTTTTTTTTTGCTATGACCCCACTCAGCCCAGCTGTCCGACTCCGCCCCTCCTCCCAGTCTGGATGAATGTATCTATTTTAACTCCTTGGTTGTCGGACTTCCATACAGTTCAGTTTTCTGTCAGTACTGGTTGTTTTTTTGTTTCTAAATATTTGTTGCCCTTATTTTGGTTGTGCCAGGAGGCACAGTGTGCCTACCTATGCCCCCATCTTGGCTGGAAGTTTGAATCCTTATAGCTGTTTTTATCCTTTTGCTAGTCCATTCTCCTCTTCTTGACCACTTAATGGTGACATGCTCAAGCCTTAAGGCCCCCTCCTCTTCTCTCCTTATCCTCACTCCAGGGATGAGTTTATTATGTCTACGGCTCAGATCTCTTCCACTGATGGCAGCTAGATGTGTATCCCTTCTCTGGGCCTCTCCCTGAGCCCCAGACTCCTCTAGACAATGCAAGCTGAAGCCCAAGGGCTGGGAGGTTCCAGTGGCTGCATCTTGCTTCAAGGCCTGAGCCATGGAAGCTGCACAGAACAGTGGATAGATATGGGAAGTCAATCTGCTGCTCCCTGGACAGACTGCAAGGCCTCTCTCATCTGAGAGCCTCCTCCTCATCTTGCTACTTAGGACCTGTTTCTATCTGTGTCAATATGCCTCCTGGATCATGGGAGGGAATACCACTTGGACAATCCTAATGCCATCTGAAATCTCAGGCACAGAGGGCATCCAGCCATGCTCACAGTCCTCCTCGAGCCTGACAGTTTCAGGAGGTTCTTTTCCCCACTTTGCCTCAGAAACAACCTAGGCAGATCCCCTTCCTTGTTGTACAGATATGGAAACCAAGACACAGAGAGGGGAGGAGACTTGCACAGGACCACAGGTGGTATCAGTGCTGCAGCCTAGCTGTGTGTAAGGTCTTCTGACTCCAAACCTTATACTTTTGACTTGTAAATTTTTATGCCAAATATCCATGTATATTAGTTGAATTTAATGTCACTTGTTCTTAAGGAACTGGAATGACACCAAGTGAACTGTAAGCTCCTAGAAGAGGGGCAACAAATACCCCTTCCCCAGCCAGTAAAACAACCATTCTCCTATGCTACCAGACACTGGGAAGACTGCCCTTTCTGGCTCCCCATGAATGGGACCCCTAATCCCCACCCCTCTTCCCAAGACTGTTGTGGCCATATCTCATGTAGGACGGCATATCTGAAAACAAAAAGCCTTACCTCCAAATAGCATGCAGCTCAGGCTCTCTGCTAAGATCTTTTTGCTGTTACTGAAAAAAAGCCCCAATTCCTAGCTTCTGAAATATGTCAGTAATGGAACAGTGAGCAAATAATCTTCAGTACAGGGACTACAACTGGACACAATCAGCCAGGGAGCTTAGAAAGGACTTTTTTCATTGCAAATAAAAAGAAAAACAATTGGATATGGCTTAACCAAAAAGAGGAGTTTTTTTAAGATTGAAGAGTTCTGAAGTGGCTCGAGGACTGGGTTGCACAAGTAACACTGTGAGATCTGCCTGCATCTGCCTCCCTTCGTGCATCCTTGCCTCTATTCCTTTTTTTTCACACTCCCTCTGCTTCTAGCCTCTCAGATGCCCAATCATAGGGAATCTTGTGTCACACAGAGATCAGAAACTGTTGCTTGATGTCAAGTCAGTATTCCTGTGGAAATGAATCTCCCTCTTTCATATTCCCACCTCTGGTCTAATAAACCAAACCTGTGGGGTTGACTACACAGGACAAAATGGTAACAGGATGCATGCAGTGTCATGGTGATCTGCCCAGACCCTCTAAAAGTGACCACTACCCACCCCAGAACTTAAGCCAAACAGATCTTGTCAAGAGTGAAGGGAAGAATGGCAGAACTGTGTGACTTGGTAAGAAGGAAAAAAAAATCTGCTGTGGTGTTAAGAATGAGAACGTTGGATCCCCAAGTTCTAGGAAGAAGTTTTAGATCAACCTCAAATGGGGTCTGGTTTGCTCTCTAGTGCAGAGAATGAGAAAGGAGGATCATTTGGGCTCTATAGAAATAGTCCAACTAAACCAGAGGACAAAGGCAAGTATTTCAGAAAATTCAGGCCTTAACCCATACTGAGCACAGAAACTTCTCCTGCACTCATGTTCATGAGCTGAGGTCAACACAGATTTTAAACACTATTGGATCCTTCCCAACCATAAGTAGACATGGTCTCTAGTTTAGTAGCCTAGGTGCCAAGTGAAGACAGGACTTACAACTCAAGAGATGTTGTTACCCCTTACAATGCTGGGTGGCATCATGGGAGTAGACTGGAGTCCTTCTATGTCTAGAGGGTGACAACCACAGCAGTTTCATAGGGAAGCTGCTGTTCGGTTAATAGAATATTCTCAGATCACTTCCTGGTTCTCAATCTTCCTGCCACAAACTAGCTCACATCCCATAATGAAGTGACATAGAGTAAGGACACTGTGAAGTTTGCTTTCTTAGGATCTTACCTTTGTTTTGAATTCCCTTGATGAAAAACACTGACATCTGAGTTGCTCAAGTTCAAGGCATTCTCAATCACTCTTGTCTTCCAGATATCCTTAATTCAAATTTAATGGTGTGTTTTGTGTTTTTAAGTTACTTGTGATTTCTATACTAGAGCCAAGAAACCAGGTATCTATTGGTGGAACAAAATATTAAGTTAAATAAGTCAAATATTTATCCAGGCCACCCGTCATACCCTCATAGATACTACAGCTCTACATGTGCCTAACATTGGGGATAAGCTGTAGACTTGTGTTCCTGTGCACAGTCGAGATGCTCAACAAGTAGATTTGAAATGAGTGGATGATTGTCAAATCCTGTAGCCAGGAAAAGAGAAGAGAGCCATCTCTTGGTGCAATCACCAAGCTGCTCAGAGGCCAAGACACTCATTATTGTTCAATCTAATTGAACAATAGCAGGTATTGTTCAAGCAGGTATCCTGTGGTAGATTTTACTGTTTTTTCCCCTCA